CAATAATTACTGTGGCTAACCTTGTCATTTTCCTGATCTAGAAAGTGTACTTTTATTGTTTCACAAATAACATTTGATGTCCTATTTTATATATAACCCTTGTCAAATTTAGAAAGTTCTCTTCTCTTCCTAGTTTTCTAAGAGTTTTATCATAAATAAATGTTATTAGCAAATACGTTTTCTGCATTTATGAAGATAATCATATATCTCCATTAAGTTGTTAAAAATATAAATTAAATATTATATTTTGTTAAACCCAATTTTATGAGGAGACATCCTTTGTCTCTCTTTTTTTTCTCTTTTAACCAAGTTCCCAAGAGCTAAAAAAGGATATATCCTCTTTTTTAGCTGGATTAAATTTGCTAATAGTTTGTTTAGGGTTTTTGCATTTCAATTCATGAATGATACTGCCTTATAAATTTCCCTTCTTATACTGTCCTCTTATGTTTTTCTTTCTTTCTTTTTTTTTTTTTTGAGACAGAGTCTTGCTCTGTCGCCCACGCTGGAGTGCAATGGCATGATCTCAGCTCACTGTAACCTCCACCTTCTGGGCTCGAGCGATTCTCCTGCCTCAGCCTCCCAACTAGCTGGGATCACAGGTGTCCACTATCATGCCCGGCTAATTTTTGTACTTTTAGTAGAGACAGAGTTTCACCATGTTGGCCAGGCTGGTTTTGAACTCCTGACCTCAGGTGATCTGCCTGCCTCGGCCTTCTAAAGTGCTGGGATTACAGGTGTGAGCCACTGTGCCCTGCTTTTCTGAGATTTCTGTCTCATTCTCTGGAAGTCCTTGATACCCCAAGTTCTGTCCCCTAATTGCTCATGCCAGAAGATGGCTGACTTTCTATCAGTCTTAGCTACTTTGTCTGCAGTCTAGGCTTGAAGCCACACTGCAAGAAAACAGGAAATTCACCCCATGCTGGTCACATCTTCCGAGTTTTAATTTCCCTCCAAAATGTGCTGCCTTTTGTTCACTCTTCAGAACTCTCAGGTAGTTAGTTGGTTTTTATGTTTTTATCTGAGGGAGTTTCAGTCTGTTAGGAGCTTATGCCACTATGCTAAAAGAGTAACTTTTCCATATCTTCAGTTTCAAAGTCATATTTAAGAAGAAATGTTAGCTGAATAGATGCTTAAAATTTATTGACGGTTGACATAAATAAAGTATGCCCTGGCACACCATTACACATTTCTTGGTGAGACAGTGAAAGAGCTTTCTCCTATTATTATAGCCACGCCGTAGCCAGACTAACCTACTCACAGTCGTTTCAGGGTTGTTCCTTAAGGCAACAAAGGTTGTGAATAAGCTGCGGATGATTCTGTCATAAGCCTTTTGGATGTCCCTTATAGCACAGTCAGTCCCCTGTAAATCACTGATTTTCAGCATGAAGAACTAGCCCCTCTGAGACTGTTCAGAACCTCTTGCTTTTTCACGGTCACCAATCACTAATGGATTTACAATGTTGTGGCAACAATTTCCCAGAGCAGACATCACTTTAATAGTGCTTTCTAGATGGCAGAGGTCATTTACCTCAGAGACACATCAAAAGTGTTCATTACTGTATTTGGAGGAAAAAACCAAAAAGGATGGAAGGCGAATTGCCTGAAGGCTGTACAAATCACTGTGGTTAATGTGTGGTGGGATAACCAAGGTCCCTAGGAGTCCTAATAGCATGTTACAAGGTGACTAATGATAGATCGTATAGGATGTTGGACATATATTTAAATGCCAACTTGTCAGAAACGTTATGTTTTTCATTGTTCCCATGTTTACTAACAAACTAATCTCAATAAAATTTGACAAGTTTGAAAATGTTTTAAGATCCTTACATTGGCCTGTAATTCTGGTAATAATCGTTATGGGTAGGAGATAGTGAGAGAAGGCTATGTACCCTTTAGATCTCAAATCTTCTTGTTGTGTTGTTTGAAATAGGTATCTCACGTCATGTTTAAGTATATTTTACAACAATGTGTTATATACAAAGTTTCAGTGCCGCAAAAAAAAAAAATAGCACTCGAATATAAAATTTTAATTTTCACCTAGGCAAGGTACTTCTATAGAAGGGTGCACCCTTACAGATGGAGCAATGGTGAGTGCACACTTGGACAAGGGAGGGGAAGGGGTTCTTATCCCCTGCTGCTGTGTCGTTCCCCTATTGACTAGGGTTAGACCACACGGGATAAACTAATTCCGACTGGCTAATTTAAAGAGAATGACGGGGTGAGTGCTTTGGTGGGCGTCAGGGCAGACCAGGAGCAGGTCATCAGAACGAGTTAGGGTGGAGGAGGTGATCGAAAAAGGCTGTTTTACGAGGAAGTTAAGTTTAAAAGTATAAAGCAAAGAATTGAACATACTGACATATTAATTATTTGAAATTTAGAACTCATATCTTACAACTGTTTCTCAAAATGTGGTCCAATGATTTTAATGCATTAAAATCTCCTGTGGTGTTGCTAAAAATGCACATTCCTAACCTTACCTCAGCCCTGCAATATCAAGACCCCAAATAGGAGGGTAGAAGAGATGAGACCTTTTTACTTGAGTTTTGTCACGTTCTTCTAGGCAAGTCTCACCCACATGAAGGAAAATAATTATATTAGGTTCTCAGAAAGATTTCTTCAGTATCGAGATCACACGAGAAAGAAATGAACTGTCAAGCCATGAAAAAGACACAGCCAATCTCAGAAGGCTACATACTGCATGATTCCAATTATATGACATTCTGGAAAAAGCTAAACTGTGGAGGCAGCAAAAAGACCAGTGGTTATCAGGGGTTGGTGGAGGAGGGGATGAATAGGTGGAATACATAAGATTTTTACAGCCATGAAAACATTTTATATGATACTACACAGAGTACACTACATGGTGGGTCCATGTCATTATACATTTGTCCAAACTCACAGAGTGTGCAACACCAAGAGTGCATCCTAATATCAATTATGGACTTTGCATGATAACGATGTGTTAATGTAAGTTCATCAATTGTAAAAAATGTATCACTCTGGTGGGAGATTTTGATAGTTGGGAGTTTGTGTGTGTGATGGCAGGAGGTATATGGGAAATCTCTGACCTGTTCAATTTTGCCATGAACCTAAAACTAGTCTAAAAAATGTCTTTTTAAAAAATCATGGTAAAATGATTTGGTAAGTTCTGAAGGTTTTTTTTTATTTAATACGTTTACTATATGCCTCCAAAGTTCAGAATATTATGCTAGGTGCTGAGGAAATAAAAAGATGGCTAATATGGAGGTTTCTGTTCTCCAAGTGATTCTACTCTGCTAAGGGAAGAGTAGAGTGCCCAGAATGCCTTGATTAAGAAAAAAAATAAAGTACTCAAGGTTCTAACTGCAGTTACGACTTGGAATGAATTTAAAACCCCCACCTCATATCTAACGAGTTTCAAAAGAGATCTAGATTCCAAAATGTTAATGAGTGACCACATTATAGATCCATCTCAGAGATAGCTATAAAAACTGAGATCAAAAAAGGAATTCTGAAAGACATTTTAAAACAAAATTCTCAGTGTCTTAGTTGGGTTCCTAGAAGCGGAGCTTAGACAAGAATTCATGTGCAATTGATTTACTGAGAGAGTGCTTTCCTGAGACACTGTAAGGGAGTGAAGGAGGGGGAAGAAGTGAGTCAAAGGTGTGGTTTCAGGAGATGTCTAGGCTCAGCTTCAAGCCTGCATGGGTACAGGGAGTGCTGGAGCATGGAGCAAGTGGAGCACTTCACACAGCTTTTCCTGCCTGGAGGCAAGAGGGCTGGGCTAGTATACACTCGCACAGTGACTCATTGGCCACGGGCCACCACCAGCCACCTTCCAGGCTTTCTAATCATATCCTGTCAGCCAAGGGCAATGCCCCTCACCCCCTCAAAGGGTGCAGCTGTGCAGCTGTGAGCCAGGAGTGGCCAGCATTCACAGCGGCTGGGGTTGGGTGCACTGCCCAGTAAGGGGATCAGGGAGGACACCGAAGGCGTCTGTCACATAAAGAAATGAACTGTCACATAAAGTTCAATGAAAAGGTTCTTCATTGCCTTTCCAGTTTTAACTGTTCTTATTCTTTTTTATCAGCTGTTTTCATAATTTTAGTCTCAGGTATTATCTTTGTTTCTAAGAATTATTGAGGCCCCCAAAGAGCTTTCTTTTATGTTGATTACATCTGTTGATATTTACCATAATTGAAATTGAAACTGAGAAACACTGAAAAGATTGATTCATTTAAAAATCAGCGGTGTCTGAAATGACTCATCCTCTATGCTGGACATTCTTCTGTCCAGGCTCTGCAGTCAGGCTGTGTGGCTTCAAATCTTAGTTTCATCCCTTACTTGCTATCTTCCATTAGCATCTTTGTGCTTTAGTGTCTTCATCTTTAAAATGTGCTTTGTAAAAGTATTATTAGATTGTTGAGAAGATAGTAAGATAATCCGCACCAAGTGCCTGACACATAGTAAACACTTTACAAATTTTAGCAAATACTAGCTAATATTTTCATTCCCTTACTATCCCCTTCGTTAAGACCTCAATTACCTTGTGTCTACAGAGTTCCATCAGTTTCCTGCCTGGCTTCTCCAGTTTCTCACCATGTCTCCCTCCATCAAAACATAGTAAACAGATTCATACACATACACATACTTTTTTAAATGATTCCACACACATATACATATATACTAGAGTTTTTGTTCTAAAAAGTTTTTTCATCATATTATCTCTCTGCTCAAAGTCATTATTTCCATGATTTAAAACAAAAATCCCTTTTTTAGCTTGCAATTCAAGTGGTTTCACAGCTTGGCTCTTCCTAGTCTTTCCAATTGTGACTGTTGTTATTCCTTTGTATCAACTGTTCTCATAATTTTGCTCTCAGAACTTCTCTGTTTGTAAGAATTACTGAGGCCCCCAAAGGGCTTTCTTTTATGTTGATTATATCTACTGATATTTACCATATTTGAAATTTAAACTGAGAAACATTGAAAAGATTGATTCATTTAAAAATAAGCATATTACATATTATGAACACCATAGGTTTTATTTAAAAATAAATGTTTTCTAAATTAAACAAATTTCATGAAAAGAGCATCACTTTCACATTTGCAAATCTCTTTAATATCTGGCTTAATGAAATACAGCTGCATTCTCATATCTGCTTCTGCATTCAATATGTTGCAAATATGTTGTTTTGGTTCAAGTATATGAAGAAAATCTGGCATCTCACAGATAAGTAGCTGGAAGAGGGAGCGTAGTTTAAATCTTTTTGGTTAGCTATAGATATTTTTCTACGATACAACACTAAAATTCAAAAAATGGTAGTTTCTCAAAGGTTAGTTGCAATGAGGAATCTGTAACCATATCAATGGTCTTTCCATGCTCTGTTACATTAAAATCCATTTGGCTATTTTGCACTCTGTGAGGATACTTTGCATATGATTTTGATCTTACAGACTCCCTGATGCGTCTCAGGCATCCCAGGGTTCCTCAGACTGCATTTCAAGAACCACTGCTCTATACGAACTCTCTGTACTTCTAAAATGTACCTGGGATTTTGTTTTTATTCAGGTATGGTGAGGTCAACAGGTCAGGCAGGAGACAATTGTGGCTGAAAAGATAATTTGTTATTCACAGCTCTCAAGAGAACGGGGCACTCCATTCCATGCAGAGCCACATGGGGAAGTCACCAGGGTCAGTTAGGTGGCAGAAGATGCAAGGAGGAGGCACGGACAAAAGCCTTTATTGTGGTTTTCATGGGAAAGAATGCGCAAGGCAGGATAAGGAGTTGGGCAGGATTAGGATTGCATAGCTTGAATAATTTTGGCGGGTTCTGGACTATAGAGGTGGTCTCTAGTTGTCCAGTACCTGGCCCTAGGGAGGCTGAGGTCAGGAGGACACTGCAGGAGTCTGATGAAAGGAGCTGGGGGTGTGGTTGGTTTGTATATCAAAGGCATTCTCAAAGCCAAGTTGTTTGCTATCTCCAGGAATTCGCTATCCCTGAGAGGGGCAGTCCCTCCCTGAATCCACAAAACCCCAATATGTCAAAGCCTCACAAAATATAGAAAATGAAAGACATGATTAATACACCCCTCAGGTTGGTTTAATTACTTTCCCATAATATAACAGATACATTTTTTTTTTCACTTTTTAAAAAATTAAACTTTAAGTTCTGGGATACATGTGCAGAATGTGCAGGTTTGATACATAGGTACACACATCCCATGGTGGTTTGCTGCACCCATCAATCCATCATCTACATTAGGTATTTCTCCTAATGCTATCCCTTCCCTAGACCCCCACTCCACAACATACCCCAGTGTGTGATATTCCCCTCCCTGTGTCCACGTGTTCTCATTGTTCAATTCCCACTTATGAGTGAGAACATGTAGTGTTTGGTTTTCTGTTCCTGTGTTGTTAGTTTGCTGAGAATGATGGTTTCCAGCTTCATCCATGTCCCTGCAAAGGACACAAACTCATCCTTTTTTGTGGCTGCATAGTATTTCATGGTGTCTGTGTGCCACATTTTCTTTATCCAGTCTATCATTGATGGGCATCTGGATTGGTTCCAAGTCTTTGCTATTGTGAACAGCGCTGCAATAAACATACATGTGCATGTGTCTTTATAGAATGATTTATAATCCTTTGGGTATATACCCAGTAATGGGATCGCTGGGTCAAATGGTATTTCTGGCTCTAGATCCTTGAGGAATTGCCACACTGTCTTCCACAATGGTTGAACTAATTTACACTCCCATCAACAGTGTAAAAGTGTTCCTATTTCTCCACATCCTCTCCAGCATCTGTTGTTTCCTGACTTTTTAATGATGGACATTCTAACTGGCATGAGATGGTATCTCATTGTGGTTTTGATTTGCATTTCTCTAATGACCGGTGATGATAAGCTTTTTTTTTCCGTATGTTTGTTGGCCACATAAATGTCTTCTCCTGAGAAGTATCTGTTCATATTCTTTGCCCACTTTTTGATGGGGTTGTTTTTTTCTTGCAAATTTGTTTAAGTTCTTTGTAGATTCTGGATATTAGCCCTTTGTCAGATGAATAGATTGCAAAAATTTTCTCCCATTCAGTACGTTGCCTGTTCACTCTGATGACAGTTTCTTTTGTTGTGCAAAAGCTCCTTAGTTTAATTAGATCCAACTTGTCAATTTTGGCTTTTGTTGCTATTGCTTTTGGTGTTTCAATCATGAAATCTTTGCCCATGTCTATGTCCTGAATGGTATTGTCTAGGTTTTCTTCTAGGGTTTTTATGTTTTCAGGTCATATGTTTAAGTCCTTAATCCATCTTGAGTTAAGTTTTGTATAAGGTGTAAGGAAGGGGTCCAGTTTCAGTTTTCTGCATATGGCTAGCCAGTTTTCCCAACACCATCTATTAAATAGGGAATCCTTTCCCCATTGCTTGTTTTTGTAAAGTTTGTCTAAGATCAGATAATTGTAGATGTGTGGCATTGTTTCTGAGGCCTCTGTTCTGTTCCATTGGTTTATATATCTGTTTTGGTACCAGTACCATGCTGTTTTGGTTACTGTAGCCTTGTAGCATAGTTTGAGGTCAGGTAGTGTGATGCCTCTAGCTTTGGTCTTTTTGTTTAGGATTGTATAGGCTATATGGGTTATTTTTTGGTTCCATATAAAATTTAAAGTATTTTTTTCTAATTCTGTGAAGAAAGTCAGTGGTAGTTTGATGAGGATAGCGTTGAATCTATAAATTACTTTGGGCAGTATGGCCATTTTTACAATATTGATCCTTCTTATCCATGAGCATGGAATATTTTTCCATTTACTTGCATCCTCTCTTATTTCCTTGAGCAGCGGTTTGTAGTTCTCCTTGAAAAGTTCCTTCACATCCCTTGTAAATTATATTCCTAGGCATTTTATTCTCTTTGTAGCAATTGTGAATCAGAGTTCACTCATGATTTGGCTCTCTCTGTTTGTCGATTATTGGTGTATAGGAATGCTTGTGATTTCTGCACATTGATTTTGTATCCTGAGACTGCTGAAGTTGCTTATCAGCTTAAGGAATTTTTGGGCTGAGACAATGGGGTTTTCTAAATATACAATCATGTCATCTGCAAACAGAGATAATTTAACTTCCTCTCTTCTTATTAGAATACCCTTTATTTCTTTCTCTCACCTGATTGCCCTGGCCAGAACTTACAATACTATATTGAATAGGAGTGGTGAGAGAGGGCATCCTTGTCTTGTGCTGGTTTTCATAGGGAAGGCTTCCAGCTTTTGCTCATTCAGTATGACATTGGCTGTGGGTTTATCATAAATAGCTCTTATTATTTTGAGATACGTTCCATCAATACCTAGTTTATTGAGAGTTTTTAGCATGAAGGAGTGTTGAATTTTGTCGAAGGCCTTTTCTGCATCTATTGAGATAATCATTTGGTTTTTGTCATTGGTTCTGTTTATGTGATGGATTACACTTATCAATTTGCGTATGTTGAACCAGACTTGCACCCCGGAGGTGAAGTTGACTTGGTTGTGGTGGATAAGCTTTTTGATGTGCTGTTGGATTCAGTTTGCCAGTATTTTATTGAGGATTTTCGCATCGATGTTCATCAGGGATATTGGCCTGAAATTTTCTTTTTTTGTTGTGTCTTTGCCAGGTTTTGGTATCAGGATGATGCTGGCCTCGTAAAATGAGTTAGGGAGGAGTCACTCTTTTTCTGTTGTTTGGAACAGCTTCAGAAGGAATAGTAACAGCATCTCTTTGTACTTCTGGTAGATTCAGCTGTGAATCCGTCTGGTCCTGGGCTTTTTTGGCTGGTAGGCTGTTAATTACTGCCTCAATTTCAGAACTTGTTATTGATCTATTCAGGGATCCAACTTCTTCTTGGTTTAGTCTTGGGAGGGTGTATGTGTCCAGGAATTTATCCATTTCTTCTAGATTTTCTAGTTTATTTGGATAGAGGTGTTTATAGTATTCTCTGATGGTTGTATTTCTGTGGGAAAAGTGGTGATATCCCCTTTATCATTTTTTTATTGTGTCTATTTGATTCTTCTCCCTTTTCTTCTTTATTAGTCTGGCTAGTGGTCTATTTTGTTGATCTTTAAAAAAAAAAACAGCTCCTGGATTCATTGATTTTTTTGAAGGTTTTTTTTTTTTGTCTCTATCTCCTTCAGTTCTGCTCTGATCTTAGTTATTTCTTGTCTTCTGCTAGCTTTTGAATTTGTTTGCTCTTACTTCTCTAGTTCTTTTAATTGTGATATTAGAGTGTCAATTTTAGATCTTTTCCGCTTTCTCCTGTGGGCATTTAGTGCTATAAATTTCCCTCTAAACACTGCTTTAGCTGTGTCCTCGAGATTCTGGTATGTTGTGTCTTTGTTCTCATTGGTTTCAAAGAAGTGATTTCTGCCTTCACTTCGTTATGTACCCAGTAGTCATTCAAGAGCAGGTTGTTCAGTTTCCATGTAGTTGTGTCGTTTTGAGTGAGTTTCTTAATCCTGAGTTCTGATTTGATTGTGCTGTGGTCTGAGAGACTGTTACGATTTTAGTTCTGCATTTGCTGAGTAGTGTTTTACTTCCAATCATGTGGTCAATTTTAGAGTAAGTGTGATGTGGTGCTGAGAAGAATGTATATTCTGTTGATTTGGGGTGGAGAGTTCTGTAGATGTCTATTAGGTCCGCTTGGTCCAGAGCTGAGTTCAAGTTCTGAATATCTTTGTTAATTTTCTGTCTCATTGGTCTGTCTAATATTGACAGTGGGGTGTTAAAGTCTCCCATTATTATTGTGTGGGAGTCTAAGTCTCTTTGTAGGTCTCTAATAACTCAATTTATGAATCTGGGTGCTCCTGTACTGGGTGCATATATATTTAGGATAGTTAGCTCTTCTTGTGTTGATCCCTTTATCATTATATAATGCCCTTCTTTGTCTTTTTTGATCTTTGTTGGTTTAAGGTCTGTTTTATCAGAGACTAGGATTGTAACCCCTGCTTTTTTTTTTTTTTTGCTTTCCATTTGCTTGGTAAATTTTCCTCCATCCTTTATTTTGAGCCTATGTATGTCTCTGCACATGAGACAGCTCTCCTGAATACAGCACACCAGTTGGTCTTGACTCTATCTAGTTTGCCAGTCCGTGTCTTTTAATTGGGGCATTAAGCCCGTTTACATTTAAGGTTAATATTGTTATGTGTGAATTTGATCCTGTCATTATGATACTAGCTGGTTATTTTGCCCATTAGTTGATGCAGTTTCTTCATCCACCAAAGTGCTGAT